AGCTTTGTCTCATAAAATCTCACACCACCATTGAAGAACAAAGTGCCCTTTATAGTTGAAGATTGCAGGGGGCAAAGATAAGGGCGGGGTTAGTAGGCTTTACTCACCCTCTCCTCCTTTTCCTTAGCACAGTGATTGCTTCTAACATCCTCCTGGTTGATGAAATTATGCGAGCTGGGATGTCTTCTCTTAAAGGGTGATTGAATTCAAAATCAGCTCTTCTGGAAGACGGGGTTTATTACACCTTGTATCCAACTACTGTTGTATAGCTTGCACTATCCTTAATTTTTACACAATAAATACAGTTTATATCTTTTGGTCTTAACAGTCTCAAAAATGTTTCATCAAAGCATAAAGAACACATGAAATATTTTCACAGTAAAGGAGTAATAATGGAAATATTTTCCCTAAGAGTCCTAACTCCCCATTCTTTAATGTATGCTACTGTAGCTTTTATAAAATAGGATCCATTATGATTCTTAGAACTTTGGGGCAACTTTTAATTAGCAAAATATGGAATACAAGTTTTAGTGCACCCAAGTCAGTTTTCAGTTTATCAGAGGGTGTAAATGTAGTAGGACACAATGTTTAATTCGCTCTCAAATTCCTTCAGTAATGTCTTGCTTCTGCTTTTTCCTCTTAAAAGTATGTCATATAGCTTTGGGTTTCATTATTTACAATATCCAATTTAATTTATTTTGTGTATTATTTATTATATTTTACTTGGTTCTTTTGTATATATGATCAACAATGTACCCTATTCTTCTAGCTCTGACTAGGTGTAGTAGAACGGAATTGATCTCATCTGGAAAGGTGAGAATTGTTGACAGCAACACTGGGAAATAATTGTTTTTGGTTTTGAATGCAACTGTTCCATATAGCTAGAATTAATCTGTTGTACTTTTTGTTATTAGGCTCCTTGTGGTTAATGTCTTTCCATGGAAGCTAGTTAATAAGAGATTAAAGCATAGCAGATGGCTTAACAGAACTTTGACCTGTTTGTGCATAAAGGAGAAAGTCGCTTTAACCATTTAAGGGCTTCATTGAGAACCTGTAATTTTCTAGCCTGCCCCCCCACAATATGCTGTTAACATCTTTCTAAATCAGTAATCAGACTTCTGAGCTATCATTTATTTATGATTTAATGACATTTCATTGTACGGCTACACTGCAATTTGTTTTACTGATTTTGTTTGCAATTTTTTTGCCATTATAAACAAAGATCTCCTTTTTAAGTTTCTACACATATTCTATAGGATAGGCCTTTTAAAATGGGCATACCACATATATGGCTAGATCTTTTCTGTGTGACATGTTTAAATTATGAAATATTTGAGCTATACCTAAAGACAGAAAATAATATAATAAATGTCTTTTTAACCTCCACCCAGCTTTAACAATTAGTAACATTTTGCCATGTTTGCTTCAACATTTCCTTAAAGAAATACAAAAGTACAGATGTTGTTAAAGTGCCACTGCCCCCCACTCACTCCCCATCACATGCTTTTCCTGCTTTTTCTCTCTAGAGAAATCTTTGATTTCTATGCACTGCAAAAAATCTTTTAATATATATGCATATACCTGTGAGAGTGTAAAATATTCTTTCTGGGGATTTAAAATGTATACATAATATCATTCTGTAGTTATAGTTTTGCTGCTTTTATTTCCTACTGACTGGTTTAAAGACTTATTCATTCATTTAGGAGTCTTGAGTATTCTAGTGTATTTCTATACTACAATGTTAAGTTTTGGTAAGTTCAAGAAAACTTCAGCATCAAAACTTTCAGAATGTATGTCAATGGCTTAGAAGAAAATACCAGAGATAATAATGTAGATTCTTTTATGGAATGTTACATTACCACTTCTTGATGGCAGGAATGAATATCCAAGATTCTGAGTTGAAAAGTGATTTAGAAGAGTTGGACTCTGAATATGAAGTCTTAAGAGTATCTTGCCTTATTTATTTTGCCTACGTTTTGCTTGTTGTGAATGCATAAGAATGATGTATGATAAAACCTGTGGGAATAAGTCTAAAATGCTCTTACAGTAAGTATAAAATAAAATAAGTGATAAGAAAGCATTATGTCATGAATGAAGTGGCAGCATTTTTCTTTCTTAGTTTATAAAGTAATGGTACATCTTATAATTGGTGACATTTTAGATTCAATGAAATATGATATTAGCTTTTTATACATTGCTGGACTCAATGCTAATATTTATTTAGGTTTTACATGTGTTCATAAGCAGTGCTGGCCTATAATTTTACTTGCTCTGCTATCCTTGTCTTATTTTGGTATCAATGACATATTAGCTTCATAAAATGAGTTGGAGAATTATTACTCTTTTTCTTTTCTTTGGAACAGTTTAAGTCAATAAGATGGAGGGTTATCTGTTTCTTGACATTTTGGTCTGGGCCTTGTAGGTTTTCAAGTGAAAAGAGAGATTTTTGGCTATTGATTCAATTTTCTTCATTGTTTCAGAACTCAGGTTTCTGTTTCCTTTTGAGTCTGTTTTGATAACATATTTTTATAGAAATTCTTCATAAAATTATGTTTTTTTTTTCTCTTAATGTCGTTTCTTGTTTTATATTACTCTGGCAATACCAGCTCTATTTTGTGCAGGGGATGAGGAAGGGATACTATTTTTCTAGTATATCTTTTCCCACCTTTTTACTTTTTTGTTTTTAGGTTTTAAATGTATCTCTCAAAACAGACTGTAGCTAAATTTTATTATTTTTAAAAGTGCTTCCGCAAAGCCCACAAAGACATGGACACTAAACAGCATGATACTGAGCAACTACTGGGTCAACATTGAAATCCAAGCAGAAATTAAAAGATTTCTGGAAACAAATGAAAATGAAGAAACATCTTACCAAAACCTCTGGGATGCCATGAAAACAGTTCTAAGTGGGGAATTTATATCTCTGCGAGCACACATCAAGAAAATGGAAAGATCACAAGTAGAGAGCCTAACAAATCACCTAAGGGAGCTGGAAAGAGAAGATCACCAAAACCCCAACTATAGCAGAAGAATCAAAATCACTAAAATAAGAGCCCAAATATGGGACATGGAAGACAAAAATATCAACAAAACAAAAAGCTTGTTCTTTTAAAGAATTAAGATTGATGGACCCATATCCAGAATGACCAAGAAAAAGAGAGAAAAAGCCCAAATAAACACAATCAGAAATATAAAAGATCATATCGCAACTGACACCAAAGAAATACAAAAGATTATCAGAGATTACTATGTACACCTATATGGAAACAAACTTGATAACCTAAATGAAATATAGGACTTTCTGACATCATACAACTTCCCCAGGTTGAAACAAGAAGACACTGAGACACTAAATAGACCAATAACAACCCAGGAAATTGACTCTGTCATATGAAAACTACCTACAAAAAAAAAGCCCTGGACTAGATGGCTTTCCAGCAGAATTCTACAAAATGTACAAGGAGGAGCTGATACCAATCCTACTGAAAGTATTCCAGGCAATTGAGAAAGATGGAATTCTGCCCAAATCATTTTGTGAAGCTGACATCACACTGATACCCAACCGGGTAAAGATCCAACAAAAAAAGAACTGCAGGCCAATGCAAAAATCCTCAACAAGATTCTAGCAAGTCGGATTCAAAAGCACATCTCAAAAATCATCTACCATGACCAAGTAGGCTTCATCCTCAGGATGCAGGACTGTTTCAACATTCACAAGACCATAAATGTAATTAAAGACATCAACAGATGTAAAAACAAGAACCACATGATTATATCGTTAGATGCAGAAAAAGCTTTTGATAAAATCCAGCATCCTTCTTTATAAAAACACTCAAAAGCCTAGGTATAGAAGGAACATACTTCAAAATAGTAAGTGCCATCTACAATAAACCCACAGCTAACATATTGCTAAATGGACAGAAACTGGAAACATTTCCCCTGAAAACTGGAACAATTCAAGGCTGCCCACTCTCACCCCTCTTGTTCCACATTGTGTTGGAAGTCCTAACTTGGGCAATTAGACAAGAGAAGGAAATCAGGGGTATCCAAATAGGAAAAGAGGAAGTTAAGTTATCTCTTTTTGCTGTTGATATGATCCTATACCTTGAAAATCCAATAGAATCTGTCAAAAACCTAGTTGCACTGATAAAGGACTTTGGCAAGTCCCAGGGTACAAAATAAATGTGCAAAAGACTGTTGCATTCCTATATACCAACAACAAGCAGGCAGAGACCCAAATAAAAAGCACAATCCCATTCACAATAGCCACAAAATAATGAAATACCTCAGCATCTTCCTAACCAGAGAGGTGAAAGACCTTTACAATGAGAACTACAAAACACTACTCAAACAAATCCAAGAATACACAAACAAGTGGAAATATAGTCCATGCTCATGGACAGGAAGAATCAACATTGTTAAAATGGTCCATCCTACCAAGGGCAATCTACAGATTCAACACAATACCCATTAAATTACCAACATCATTCTTCTCAGACCTGGAAATGACAATACAGAAATTCATATGGAAACATAAATGACCACGAATAGCCAAAACAATCCTTAGCAAAAGAAACAAAGCAGGAGGTATCACACTTCTAGACTTCAAACTTGACTGTATGGCTACAGTAATCAAAGCAGTCTGGTATTGGTAAGAACAGGCACATAGACCAATGGAACAGGATAGACATTCCAGAAGCAAAGCCTCAATTTCTCAACCCATTCATCTTTGACAAAGTCTCCAACAACAACCATGGGGGAGAGGAGAACCTATTCAGTAAATGGTACTGGGAAAACTGGCTGACCACATGCAGAAGATTGAAACAGGACCCCTACCTATCACTATACATAAAAATTAACTCTAAATGGATCAAAGATCTAAATGTAAAATCTCAAACTATAAGAATCCTAGAAAATGCAGGAGACATCCTTATGGAAATTGGATCTGGGAACCAATTCCTATTCAGAACCTAAATGCCCATACCTTAAGAAATAAGATAGCCCTTTTGGCTCTCTGAGCGGCATCATGGCGGTAGGCAAGAACAAGCGCCTTACGAAAGGCAGTAAAAAGGGAGCCAAGAAGAAAGTGATTGATCCATTTTCTAAGAAAGATTGGTATGATGTGAAAGCGCCTGCTATGTTCAATATAAGAAATATTGGCAAAATGCTGGTCACCAGGACGCAAGGAACCAAAATTGCATCCGATGGCCTCAAGGGTCGTGTGTTTGAAGTGAATCTTGCCGATCTGCAGAATGATGAAGTTGCATTTAGGAAATTCAAGCTGATCGCTGAAGATGTTCAAGGCAAAAACTATCTGACTAACTTCCATGGCATGGACCTGACCCGGGACAAAATGTGCTCCATGGTCAAAAAATGGCAGACCATGATCGAAGCTCATGTTGATGTCAAGACTACCGATGGTTATTTGCTTCGTCTGTTCTGTGTTGGTTTTACTAAAAAATGCAACAATCAGATACGGAAGACCTCTTATGCTCAACACCAACAGGTCCGCCAGATCCGGAAGAAGATGATGGAAATCATGACCCGGGAAGTGCAGACAAATGACTTAAAAGAAGTGGTCAATAAATTG